AGGGGAAAAATGTCTTTCCTGACTTGGCAGATAAAGCAGATCAATTCCCTAAGGAAAAAAGCCTCTTTTGCTTGTGTGTGGGTACTTTGCAAACCCAGATGAAGCCTGAAGATGCAGGTCTTCTGTCTTTTTGGAGCGCACACATAGGATGCTGCACAAACTGGCTGTTTGTGTTAGAAGCTCTTTGTTGTTTAAAATACTATGATCTCAGAACTGTAAAGGCACTTGAGAACCAAAAATCTTTGCCTGGTATTTTAAACTGGGCATTTAAGCTAAATTTTAAAGCTGTTATAATCTGGAAGCACATATAAACACAAAACTCAAATTTACATTACGAAAGCGCAGTTACACACTTATATAAACACATATTGTGGCCACATTATTTTAACAGAAAAGCAGGACAGACTTAGGGACCTGTGTCAGCTTACTAGGCGTTGCAAGAGAGAACAGAAACATAGAGACAAAACATCTCAGCAGGAAAGGCTGGGGGGGGGGGGGGGGGAGACCAGGGAAACAGCTAAGTGGAAAACTTAAGGCTGAGCACCCAGCATGTGCTAGGGTCCAGATAGGAACCTGTGTTGAGGGTAAGTGCCACTCCACATGAAAGACCCTCAGAGAGGAGGAGAGGACCTTCCCTCAGGAGATGACCCCGGGACACAAGGAACAGTCGGCGACCACTGGCTGCAATTAGCAAGAGGTTTATTGGGTGTGCACAGGTACCTGTGGGCGGCAAAATCCTTTCTGAGGACTTGCGCACCTGCAGGCTGGGAGAAGGTCTTTTTATAGGAAAAGGGTGGCAAAAGCAGGCATACAGAAGTAAATGTATGGTTACAGGGATTTCATTGGTCAGTTCGAATGGAGGCGATGGGTTCACTTGGGGACAAGTTTCTCAGGGACATGAAGATCTGATAATAGCTGACTTGGCTCTATCTAGGGCACATGTGGTTTTTCCCAGAACTTTCGTTCTCCTCCCAAGCCTGTTGTCTGATCATAGATATCTTGTTTGGTGGCCTAGGAGTACCGACTTTACCTTGAACTTATATTTGTTTGTGTGAAAGCCTTGCAAAATGGCGTTACAGCAGCTAAGCTGGGGTCATTCACACAAACCGGACACCATGTCTCTGTAACTGATGGGGAAGTGCCACTCCACAAACTGCCAGTGCACTCTGTTGTTGTCAAAGCTAGAACAGGAGCGGTGTTGGAGTACTTTGGTGGCTGCTTTTTGGGTACACAGCAGCACGGAAGTGTCTGTGCATGCGCGCATGAGAGGTGATGAGGCAGAAGTCGAGGCGGGACAAAGAGCAGTCAGTGAATGAAAACACACAGAGAGACGGATGTAGGGGCAGGACAAAGAGTTGCAGTGCCAATGAACAGAGAAAGAACAGCAGAAGGGGAGGGCAGAAGTGCCAAACTTGAAAAACACGGGCTTGGAGTGTCATTTGCTTTAAGTTATTGATGCAATTTAAAAAGATTTTTAAGTGCCCACTTAAGGGCATTTGAAATTGGCTAGAAATCTCAAGAAAGCCACTTTAAATGCATGCCTCTGACACGGCCCGTCCAAATGCATCCACCTGATTGGCGCCACTGAGTCAAGCGCAATATCCCATCTCTGCAGGAGGCTTGGCCTCTGCCGCTGTTGAGACTTTTCACACGACCCATGACTCCAACAAAAGCCTGAAAAAATGAACGGGTCACCCTAAGACCCTACCCGCATGCAGTTTATTTTATTTTTTTTGTTGTTGTTGTTGTTTGTTTGTTTTTTATTTTTTATTTTTTTTAATTTATTTATTTATTAAAGATTTCTGTCTCTTCCCAGTCACCGCCTCCCATTTCCCTCCCCCTCCCCTAATTAAGCCCCCCCACCTCAGCCCGAAAAGCAATCAGGGTTCCCTGTCCTGTGGGAAGTCCAAGGAACCCCCCACCTCCATCCAGGTCTAGTAAGTTGAGCATCCAAACTGCCTAGGCTCCCACAAAGCCAGTACGTGCAGTAGGATCAGAAACCCAGTGCCATTGTTCTTGAGTTCTCAGTAGTCCTCATTGTCCGTTATGTTCAGAGAGTCCGGTTTTATCCCAGGCTTTTCCAGACCCAGGCCAGCTGGTCTTGGTGAGTTCCCAGTAGAACATCCCCATTGTCTCAGTGTGTGGGTGCACCCCTCATGGTCCTGAGTTCCTTGCTCGTGCTCTCTCTCCTTCTGCTCCTGATTTGGACCTTGAGAATTCAGTCCTGTGCTCCAATGTGGGTCTCTGTCTCTGTCTCCTTTCATCGCTTGCTGAAGCAAACTTGTGCAACCACTTTGGAAAGCAGTGTGGCGGTTTCTCAGGAAATTTGGGATCAACTTACCCCTGGACCCCGCAATACCACTCTTGGGAATATACCCAAGAGAGGCCTTATCATACAACAAAAGTATATGCTCTACTATGTTCATAGCAGCATTGTTTGTCATAGCCAGAACCTGGAAACAACCTAGATGCCCTTCAATGGAAGAATGGATGAAGAAAGTATGGAATATATACATATTAGAGTATTATTCAGCAGTAAGAAACAAGGACTTCTTGAATTTTGCATACAAATGGATGGAAATAGAAAACACTATCCTGAGTGAGGTAAGCCAGACACAAAAAGAGGAACATGGGATGTACTCACTCATATTTGGTTTCTAGCCATAAACCAAGGACATTGAGCCTATAATTAGTGATCCTAGAGAAGCTAAATAAGGAGAACCCAAAGAAAAACATATAGGCATCCTCCTGAATATTAACCCGCATGCAGTTTAAAAGGGGAACTCACCAAGTGAAACCCAACTTGCTGGTGGAGTTTGTGTGCAGACCTCGGGTCAGGATCACATGCTGGGATTTGGAGTCCAGAGCAAAGCAACTCCCAGGCCTGGGAGGCTGGGATGGATGCCAGGGGCTATGCTCCAAACTTAAAAATAATAAGGATTATATGAAGCCATGGTAAAGAAAGACTGACATGAATGAAGTGTTTATAATTGAGGATTTAGTCTCTGTTACTTAATCATCACAATAGTTATCTTCCCCCTGTATAAGCAGGAAATCAAAGCTCAGTATCTTAGTAACACCACAATTTCCATATTGCAAACGTCGTGGGATGTAGCTGGGTCTTCACTACTTTTCACATTGCTCTGACAAACTGCCTGACAAAATTAAATTAAAGGAAGAAGGTTTGGCTTCGTTGGTTGGCTTTGGTTTGGGGTTTTTGAGACAGGGTTTCTCTGTGTAGCCCTGGCTGCCCTGGAACTCACTCTGTAGACCAGGATGGCCTTAATCAAACTCAGCTATCCTCCTGCCTCTGCCTCCGGAGCACTGTGGGATTAAAGGCCTACACCACCACACTTGGCAGTTTTCTTTTAGTTCATGGCTTAAGAGGATCCAGTTAATATCCATGGCAACAGCAGCGTTGTTAGGCTTCTTATCACATGGTATCCACAGATAGGAAGCAGAGGGAAACAAATGCTGGTACTCAGCTCACTTTCTACTTTTTAATCACCCTAAGCCCCAACAGGTAGAATGGTGACACCTACATTCAGAGTGGGTCTTCCCAACTCCATTAACTCAGCCTAGAAACTCCCCCCGGACACACCCAGACACTTGCCTCCTTAGGATCTGTCAAGATGATAATCAGTATAAAAGCTCATGAACAGCTGTCCCTTTCTTTGACTGTCACTCTTCAATCATTCTGTCTTTGGGAGGCCATCTTCTTATGTGTTTCCCCATGTCTCCCCCCTCCCAGCATTGATACATCGGCCACATTCCTTGCGAGAGAGACACTCAGCCTATTCTCTTCACTTTGTTGATTTCCTAATACATGTGCAAGTTGGATAAATATTTGCTGGATTGATTCCAAAGTGGTTCCTTCCACCATCTGCTCTTCTCTGAGTCCCTCGTGTTATCTGACATTCCCTGCTAATGATTTTCAAGCACATACTGTCTGTCCTAGCTTCTAACTGAAGTTCCACATCAGTACCTATGGACAGTCTAATGATGCATCAATGTATCAAACTTGACTATTCTAGCTCCAGCACTGCTTTCTAGTCATTCCTAACTTATTGGAAACACAACAGTGTCTTTACTAGGAACTGGCTCCCAAGCCTGAGGCATATTATCACTTCTCTTCCTCAATTTCTACTTCAAATAATTTAGGAGTCAATTGGGGCTTCCCTTCCACTGGTATATGACACTCAGTATGAGTCACACTAAAAAACCGCTATTTTTGAGGCAGGGTCTCACTGTGTGTACTCAGTGTAGCCTCAAACTCAAGGACCCTCCTACCTCTGACTCAAGAGTTCTGGAATTAAAGATATACATTACCTGTCCCAGCATAAGCTGCATTCTTCTCAAGAAATTTACATATTTAAATGTTTTCCAACTCCTTGTTGTAATTACAGAGCATGTCTGCTTCCTATATTTCCTAAATAATCTTTGTTTTATCTCATACTGGGTCCCCCACAACAACCCTACAATACCTATTTAGATGAGAAATTTTGTGAATATATCCTTCATAAGAACTGAAGCATATTGCATTTGAAAGACCAAGTGTCACTCAGCTTTCCCATTGTCATATTGCATACCTGAGTGTTATTATTTGGATATAGTACTCAACTATTGATTATATAATCAGTATAAAAGCTCATGAACAGCTGTCCCTTTCTTTGACTGTCACTCTTCAATCATTCTGTCTTTGGGAGGCCATTATATAATCAATGTGTTCAATGCCTGGTAGACAGCTGGTGGTATCATGAAGAAAGGCTGCCATAAATCGTTTTGTGTTATTAGAAAGTAGGGTTTTTCCAGAAGAACTAAGACATGGGGTGAATCCTTGAGGAACATATCTTGGGTGAGGCATCTTCCTCTACCTCTCTGTGCTCCTGACACCACGAGTGGGCAGCCTCCTCTTCACTGTCACATGGCATTCTGCTTTACTTCTGCCTAGCCCAAAACAAAAGGATACAGTTGGCCTTAGGTTGTAACCTCAGAACCAACAACCTGAATTAAATTTGTCTTTGACTTTAAGAGGCTAACACAGAAGGGTAAAGGAACTCTCCATAAAACCCATGGAGGAGACTGTACACCTCCTCTTTGGATCCTGTCTGGAGTCACAGATGAAAAAAAAAAAAAAGAAGAAAAAAAAAATTTGTCTTTGTTCTGGTTGATTTTCTCAGGTACTCTCACACTGATGGAAAAGAACTAACCAAACATTATGCCAAACTCACATATGAACGTGTTTACTTTGGCCCAGAATTTTGGGGGTACAGTCAAATGACCAATGGGACCACTGGTTGGAGAGTCAGATGAAGTACCAAGTTGTGGAAGGAACACAAGATAAACATATCTGGTCACTGTCAACAAAAAGTGAAAGAGAGGTGGTAGAAGAGATAAGGGAGGGACATTTGCCTCTGAGGGCACATCTTCAGTGACCTGGAGCGTCTCCAGGAGGCTCTTCTGTATAAGGATTTCTGTTTTTGGATTACCAACCAGTTTCCACATCTTGACATGGAGACTTATTATTAGTTATTAATGCTCAGCCTTATCTTAGCTCTTATTTTTCTGTTTATCTGTTTTGCTTTGGAGCTTTATACCTTTCTTCCTTTCTGTATGTCCTGCTTTCACTACTTCTCATGGTTGCGTAAATTCTGGTTCAAGCATTTCCCTCTACTTCTCTTTCATTTTCCTCTCTTTCTTCTCTCTTGTGTACTCCTATTTATTCTCTCTGCCTACCACTCTGCCCTATCCATCTCATGCTGAGCTATTGTCCATTTAGCTTTTAATTAGACCAATCAAGTACCATAGGCAAGCAAGGTGTAACAAATGTAACACATCTTTACACGATTAACAAAGGCAGCATACACAAAAGTAACACGTTTGCCCGATTAAAATAATATTTCACAACACTCTTCCTCTTTACTGTTCCTCTACTTTCCAATAGGGTTTGTCTAGTGACAGGATTTTACCGCACAAACCATGGTGTACCATTGAAAATTCCAATGGTAACAGATCACATCTATCACCAACTAGTTTCCATATCCTGTTCATAGCCTCTTTTCCTAGACAGCCATTTCTAGAGCCTACACTCTCTTTCATGAAATCAATAATAAGGCTATCCTACCTTACACCCCATTTATACTTCTCAACAGGACCTTATTGCAGTGATACTTCATTTGTACTTTAATAAATAAAACTTGCCTGAAGGTCAGTGAAAAGTAACCACACTAGTCAGCCATACAGGTCAGGCAGTGGTTGCAAACATCTTTCATCTCAGCAGCCACACTAGTTAGACATAGAGGCTGGATTGAAGTGGTGCACATCTTTAATCCCAGCACTAGAGAGGAGTATAAGGCAGGATGAGACAGGAGTATAAGGCAGGATGAAATCTCATCTGAAGATTTCAAGAGGTAAGAACTCTTTAGTGGCTTGGTTTCTTTTTCTTTTCTGACCTTTGGGTTGAACCCCAATATCTGTTTGTGTGTTTTTATTGCTCATGCTACACTGTATAATATATCTAGCATAGTATTCTTCTGATCTGGCTTAAAGTGCAACAAAGATTCTGAATTTATATGTTCCCCACTACATTTTGATATCTACAAAGCTGCTGTTTCGGCTGCCCAGAACTGAAATTACCACACAGAAACTGTATTAATTAAATCACTGCTTGGCCCATTAGCTCTAACTTCTTATTGGCTAACTCTTACATAAATCTCACCATTTCTATTAATCTGTGTATCGCCATGTGACAGTGGCTTACTGGGGAAAATTCCCAGCATCTGTCTCCGGCGGATCCATGGTGTCTCTCTGACTCTGTTCTCTTCCTCTCAGAATTCAGTTCTGTCTTCTCCACCTACCTAAGTTCTGCTGTATCAAAAGGCCAAGGAAGTTCTTTATTCATTAACCAATGAAAGCAACACATAAACACAAGGACCTCCTACACCAAGCTTGGACAGGTATTTTTCTTGCTTTTAAGAGTCCCTGTAATCCTTAATATACACCAAGATCTTCAGGATCATAATACTTAATATAGAAGACATAGTTTCTATGGATGTAAGAACAATTCTAGGGATCTTCTGGCTCAATTACTTATTTTTATGAACAGAACTGTTCTCATTGAGACCAACTACAATAGTTAATTCAATGTAATTTTTTTTGTTTTCCCATCTCTCTTTCCATAACTGAAGAGGACCAGAATAAGAGTTGAGAATTATAATGGTTTCAGTGAAAAATGCATCCTATGGGATTATGCATTTTCACTCTTGGACCCCAGGTCACAGGTGGTGCTGCTGGGAATATATAGAACCTTTAGGATGTGAAGCCTTGTCAGAAGAAGGATCTCTCTGCAGGACATGATTAGAGTGTTTACCATCTTGCCTCATTTCCTGTTATCCTTTTGGTTCCTGTCTAAAGATTCAATGTGACCAACCACCTTTCTACTACTGCCACCATTCCATGCCTTCCTTGCCATGGAGGACTCTGTCTCCTGGAACTGAAAACCCAAGTAAGCCCTTTCTTCTATATAAGTTGCCTTTGATCACGGTACTTTATCATAGCAACAAAAAAGAAATTAATACAAGAAATTTTTAAGGCAGCAAAACTTTGCAATGTAGTGACCATGAAAATATTATATAGTCTCTCCTTGCTGAATAATTCTATAGAGATAATTAGTCTGTAGTTCAGACAATAATCTGCAAATATGAGGATAACTGATCATAAAGGTGCAATTTTATGTACAAACAATAAATTGGAACACTTCAGGAACAGGCGACATTTTCCACCTGTTTTCACTCATGGGACGCTACATTCCTGCGTGACAAGATCACGGTCATTATGCCCAGTTTACTCCTGGTCCCCCACTAGCAAGCATATCGTGTATATTATATGTTTGCTGCTCAATGAATCCATTAACTTCTCAGTTTCCTCTGAAACCTCATTTACAGCCTAAACTTATAACCAATTGAATATATTTTGCTAGAATTCCTCTGTTTCCTGTGGTGTTCTGATTTCATATTCAGTGTGGGTTACATGCATAGTAATCAGATTTGAGAAACTTTGATTTGAGCTTTGCAAAATTGTCCAAGGCCTTGCCTAGAGAATCTCTGGTTTGCAGGTATGAAAAAAAAAAAGAAAGAAAATTAAACATTTGCAGTTACTTACCATTTTCCCTGCCTACTAGAATGTTTCCATAATTCTAGAATAATTTTTAATGTAGTTTGTACTGCTTCATCTGAAATGATGACTTAAGGTCTTATATTTCTTCATCCTCTGACCTTCTTCGGTTCTGATTCATAGCATCAATTCCCAAGGGAGATACTATTCATTTGGGTTGCATTAACTATTTTGTTGATCTCCTATCATGGTAAAAAGGAATACTATAGCTAGAGAGATGGCTTAGCAGTTAAGACTGTGCATTGCTCTTCCAGAGAACTTCTGTCTCATTCACAGCATCCACCTGTACAGCTCACTCCTAACTGTAACCCCAGCTCCAGGTGATCTAATGCCCTCTGCTGGCCTGGATGAGAAACTGAAATCACTAGTGCATATATCCACCCCTTCGCACACACACATATACATATAATTAAGAAAAATTATATATTATAATTATAGTTTATAGCTAGAACCATTCAAATAATACATATAATTACCATTTCTGGTTGAGAAGACCTAATTTAAAAAATATAAAATTTAAAATGTTTTCAACCCAAGCCTCTTTGTATATTGATGCTTCTGAAAGTCTTGATAGTTCTATGTATTCAAACTTTGTTACATATACCTAGTTTTTTGAATTGATGTGTAAAGCTGTCTTATCTATGTACTATAAGCGTATAATATTTGAATCATAAATTAAGCTTGTTTCAATTTTGGTCTTTATTAGCTACTTTTCTCATTGTCACGATCAAGTGAACAATGGCAAAGTGAGAAAAGGTTCATTTTGGTTCACAGCTTGAGTGTATAACCCATCATGAGGCAGGAGGCCTATTCATAATTTGAGTGTATAAACCATCATGATGTAGAAGGCCTGCTCACAGCTTGAGTGTATATAACCCATCATGACTTAGAAGGTCTGCTCATAGTTTGAGTGTATAATCATCATGACGTGGAAGGCCTGCTCACAGCTTGAGTTTATAACCCATCACGACATAGAAGGCCTGCTCATAGCTTGAGTGTATAACCCATCATGATGCAGAAGGCCTGCTGGCAGGAATATGTGGCAACTGGTCACATTTCATGTTTAGTCAGGAAGCAGAAACTGAAGAATACTGGTGCTCAGCTCACTTTTCCTTTTAATTAAACCCAAAGCCCCAGACTGTGCAACACTGCTGCCCATATTTAGAGTGAATCTTCCTATTTTGATTGATGCAATCTAGAAATTCCTCCCTGACAAACCCAAAGTGTTGTCTCCTAGGTGAGTCTAGATCCTGGCAAGTGAACAATCCAGTATCAACCTTCTCAGGACCCATTGCTAAACTGTCTCATTATATGTTTGCAAATATCCTCAAATCCAGAAATAATGCAAAACCCAAAGTACTTGGCCTCCACTTGTAGTAATAAGGGCGGCGGGGCTGCGTCCCCAGCACCCCGGCTGCCTGGCTAGCTTATGCCCGAAATAACAACACACAAACTGTATTCATTTAATCACTGCTTGGCCCATTTCTATCTAGCCTCTTCTAGACTAACTCTCGCACCTGGACTAGCCCATTTCTAATATTCTATGTAGCACAGCTAGGTGCGCTTACCGGGAAGATTCTAGCCTATGTCCATCCTGGGTCGGAGCTTCATCGCGTGCGTCTGCCTGGGAGCTGGGAGCATGGCGTCTCCCTGAGGCGTCTGCTCCCGAGAGGAGAGCTGTGGAGTCTGAGCTCACTTCCTCTTCCTCCCAGCGTTCTGTTCTGTTTACTCCTCCCACCTATCTTCTAACCAATGAGGGCCAAGCAGTTTCTTTTTATTTAACCAATGACCTTCCTCCATCATCCACTTATTTTGAGTTAGAGATATTCAATCTATAGCATTGTTATTTAGTGATTTCCTCTCTTGTTTATTTATTTTTACCATTTTGTATGCACTTATGTATTCATGTATGTGTGCTTTTGTATGTGGGTCTCTGTAGTGTGTCACTGC